TTATTAAAAAGTGAGCAAAACTAGCGGCTGAAAAATCTAAGCGATTTGTCCTTGTTAAATATGGTAAGTGGAGGGTCTTCTTTATTATCAATCATTAGTTTAATTACGCCTTATCGTTCGGCTCTCACTTGAGTATACTTTTTTCAAATTTTTGTAATAATTTTTTTACGATTTTCATTTCGTGTCTTAAATTTTCTTAAAAAAAAAAAAACATATTAAAAAATTAATCAATTTCTATGTTTATTTTAAAAAAATCAGCTGTAAAAAGACAAAACGGGTCTAAATTTAAAATAATAAAAATATACGCGCACATACCCACAAAAAATATTCCTACATATGTGAGGATTTTAATTTTATTTCATGTTTTGATAGGAACTTGCGTTATTTTTCTATAAGATTGAATTAATAATTTTTTCTTATTTTTTGGTCTAACGATGCCCAATTTATTTTAAAACAATAAAATTTTCTACTTCATTTATTGGATCTTGTCGAGGACTATTTTGTTCTCTCCTATACCTAAAAATCACAAATGTTATTTTTTCAATTCTAATTCAATCATATAGAAAAAATTTTTTCTCTTTTATTATTTTGGGATATTTTTCGAATGCGTATGTCATTTTTGAAAATAAATATTTCAATTATGACTTTATGTTTTGTTAGGATAATTTTAAAATTTTTAATTTATTTGGAAAATAATTGAGAAACAATAACAATTTATGTTTGTTTTCTTTTTTCTTCAAAATTTCTTCAATTGATGCTATAGAGCTCATATGAATTTGACTTTTTTTTTAAATGGTGGTCGTAATAGTCTAATAAAATGGGTTTTTTTAGCGTTTAACAATTTCTACTCAAAAAAATTAATAAATTTATTGCTTCCAATGAATTAATTTTCTGATCTTAAATTATTTTTTTAAGGAAATGAGAGTTTTAATTCAATTTTTTTGTTTACAAAGGAAAATTTCATCACTGTTAACTTTAAAAATGAGCAATTTTGAAGTTAATATTGAGCAAATTCTGAATCGCGAGGTGAGGAAAATTTTCAGGTTAATTCGAGAATGAAGTATTATCAATCAAGATTTCTTGGTAACGAAAGAATATCTGAAAATTTTAAAATTTATGAGAACTATAGACACATAATTTTTAACAAATAGTTAATACGAGTATAACAACGAGTTAAACGGTAACTTTATACTCGTTAACAACGAGTATAAAGTAGTTAATGTTTAAAAATTCAGTAAAAAAATGTGAAAGAAAAATGATAAAAATAAAAGCTTTCATTTAGTTCGGAGATTTTTGAATAAATTGCAAATTTTGGATCCAAAACAGACAGAAATTTTATAACCACAAAACTACAAATTTAATTTATGTACAGAAGAGGGATGGAACGATATTAAAAAATCATTCAGAAAGGCTAGGATTTCCCATACTAATCGTCTTCTTCTCCCAGAGTTAAATTACATATAATATTTTACAACAAGTTTAATGTACTTGGATTGTAAATAAAACTGTTCTTGTTATAAAACTTTACAATTCAATTAGATCGTATTTAATCTTAAACTATAATAGAAATTATTTAATCTGACTGAATTTATACAAAATTATTAAATTTTTCCAAATCATACTCCAAAAATAGTTCATCTCTTTCTGAACTCTTCTCATTCATAACAATATTTTTGAACTCCTATATTAGATTCAACATCATTCCATATGAATTTTTTGTATATTTTCACATCAAAAATCAAAAGTATGAAGTTTATAAAGGATAGACAATAAATTTTTACTGTTAATGCTTTTCTTCACCAATTTCTTACTCTTGTCGCTATTTTGTTTCTTAGCATATTCAAAAAATTTAATTGCCATAAACAACAAGAAAAAAAGAAGAAAGAAAACGGAGTAATAAAAAAAATCATTGTTTTTCTTCTTATTTCTGTTGTCCTTTAACACTTCTCTCTATACAAAGGATTCAATTAGTTGACGGAAATTACTTTCGCGTTCTTTACCATTTTTTATTGGAGTCATTTTATTTTTTTATTATTTATTTTTTTTTTTTCTTATTATAGGTTACAAAAGTCAAGTTTTTGTCACTGAGACTATAAAGAAGAACAAGAAGAATAAGAAGCAGAAGAAGAGGAAAAAAAACTTTCCTTTAATTGTTTCACTTTATGTAGGAAGACACTAAATTAATGTTGAAATTTTAAATTTTAAGTAAAAAACAATTAAATAATTTCGGAAATTATAAAAAAAAAAAAAAAAGAAATTTCTATATTTTTATTTTTATTACAAATAATTTTGTTAATTATTTATTTTCAAAGTATAAAATTTAATTTTTTATTTATAAAAAATTATTCGAATGGTTTTTTTATAGCTCTTCGTAAGTTTTTGAAAATTTTTGAAAAGAAGAAGAATTTTTTGAAATTTTACTGAATATAGAAGGGTTTGTTTAAAAATTTTGTTCTATTAAAATGAAATCTTAATTTTATCTAAAGATAAGGTAAAATAAATCCAATATATTCTTAAGAATCAGAATTTCTTGAAGATATTAAATTTTTACTTTCAATGCCACTTTTCCCAAATGCAAAGTATGTATAAAATAATTGAGTGGGTCACTTACGCAAATTCATTCCGATAGATAACTTCACTCTATTGTATTTAGAATAAATGTCCGGCATTCGATTTATTAGTTACCTGAATTTTCATTCAAGACAAGCATTTAATTCAAAATCTACTTTTAATTAGGCGCTACTGCTGTTAATTTGTAAATAAAACAATAGAACAGAATAAAATTTATATCATTGCTTTTTAATTATACAGGAATTGTATTTAAGGAAAAAATGAATTGAAAAAAATTTGTAGGCTTTTATAGTGTCCTATATGTAACTTTAGCAGTAAGGAATATATTGAATAATTAAGACACATATAAGTACATAAACCAAGACAGATTAAGATAGAATTATAAATTATGAAAAATTCGACTGTGAAATAAAACACTAAGTCATTAAAAATCACATAGAATTGAAAAATAATACGGTAACATGTTTCTGATTACAATATTTTCTAACACGTTTAGGCGGAAGAGTGTTAATAATCTACCCATTAAAAATTATATTCTAATAAAAGATGAGGTTATTGCTTATAAAAAATAAATTGCATTAGAGCTCGAATGAAAAATAATTTGCTATTTTAGGCTATTTTTAATATTCAAGTTTTTAAAATTCGTTCATTTTACATAAAATTGCATTTCTCTAATTGTATTTTTCGTAAACAAGATTTTTAACAAATAAAATATACGCACATATATAGAAAATATGTGGGGATAGAAAACATAAAATAGAAAAAAAATTTCAATGAAACCATAAACGGTTTGCATTCCTTGAATAATAAAAAGATCATCTTTGTCTAATAAAATAAAATCAAAGGAAAATTTTTCAAATGTATAAGAGAAAACAAAAGAAAAATATTCCAACAAGTTGCTTGTTTTCTTTTAGTTTAAGTGTCACTTGCTGATAGGGAATAATAATTAAAAATGCACAATTTATGGGGTAAAAAAAAAATAATTTTTTTTTGTTCTTCAATTATCTATGACAACAATATACTCTCTTAAATTAAAAAATTCTTTTCAAGGAGACACAAACTGTCAACAATCTTGTATTATTTAAAAAATCCTACACGAATGCATACACAAACACATAGAATTAATGCATTGGTATTCTTTTGAAAAACAAGACGTTTAAGTGAGTGTTTTTAAGAAATATCAAAGATATTACAATACTTTTGTGGTCATGCAAATTAAGAACACAATAGCGTGCATACACATACATACGTATATAAATAACATTGAAATATTCTATTTCTTATCTTGTTCTTATATAATATTCCTTAAGAATATCAAATTCTAAAACAATTTTAAACGAATTCCTATTTTTAAATATATGAAATGCAAATAATAAGTAATAATAAAAAATATATTTGAAAAAAATATTAATTTACTAGTATAAAAAGTAGATTTTGTACGTGTTCGTCAGTTTAACATTTTTAATTGTAATATAATATTGTTGTCCATTTTTGTTCTTTAATTAACGAAGAATCTGTTGACATTTTATTCATTTTATTAATATACAATATACGTTTTTAAATATTAAAAGAAATTACATGAAATTGTATTACGTAATAAAAAAGATTTTATGTAAACAACAATATTTTTTAATATTGTGATATTTAAACTGTAATATTTAATTAAAATGAACGTTTAATTGAAATTCATAATTTCATTTAATTTAAAAGTGCATAAAATGTATATATACAAATATGACATTTTCCATGTGACATAACATGCATAGATAGTGATACCATTTAATGAGGAATTTACAGTGTAGTTGCAGATAGAATTAATTTTGTATTTCATACGAGAAATTATTATTAACAAGTTTTTCAATTATTGAAGGAGTTGAATTTCATATTCAACACATTTGCTTTTATATATCACTCAGTTCTTGCAGAGAATCAACCGCTTATTGTAGAGAATAATTCTATTAACTGACACTAGCGTTTAAATAAAATGACAATTATAATTGAAATTTCAAAACAAATTTTGACGTTCACTTTGTAAGACAAATAAGTATAGTTATTCAATAATAGTTATTCAATAATAATAAAAAAAAATTGTTTAATTGCGAGTCCTCATGAATTGCATAATTTCATATTTCAAATAAAATACAAGAAAAATGTTATAATGTTTTAAATACGTGACTAGATCATTTATAATTTAATATTTCATAGTGGAAACAAAAATATCTTGGGAGGATTTCAGAAACACTAACAAGTTTCTAGCAAAAATTACTAAATTTTGCATTTCTCTTTCAAGTCTTAATTAATAATCACCTTTTCAACTTTAATTAAAGATAAAATTTTGTTAAATTAATTTTATTTAAATACATAATATTATTAATTCAATATTTTATAATATTTATTAACGAAATTTTTGTTTTAATTTTTAATTTCAGATTATCAAAGGCTTCAAACATTAATAATCAATTTTAATTTTATTGATCAACAGAAAAACAAATAAATTCAATAAAATAATGAAAATGTATACGGCAACTATTTCATCATTAATATTTTTCATAATATTTTGGATATCATTAGTTATGGGAAATGAATATGATCATGATCCAACAACACAAGAATTAGCAAATGTTTTACTCGGATATGATTTAGATGGTAATGAAGCTGATAATGATATATCAAGTGATGTAGATAAACGTTCAGATAGATATGCATTCGGTTTGGGACGACGTGCATATCATTATACATCTGGTTTATCTGGTGTTAAACGTCTTCCAATATATAATTTTGGATTGGGAAAACGTGCTAGACCTTATTCATTTGGTTTGGGTAAACGTACATATAATAAAGATGATGATACAAATATGTTATTAGAAGCAACTGGTGAACAAATTTATGGACAACCATCTTCATTTCCAAGTAAGTTGAGTTACAATAACACTACTTGACTCAAATGTGAATACAAATAGCATTAAATTGACAGTGCTAAATTAAATTATTTGAAAAGAAATGTATTTATTCACAATTAATTGAAAAATTTTCGATACTTGTAATAAAAAATGAAAACAATTTTAATAAATGTACAATTTTATATTTTAGGAAATCAAAGGAATCGACCATACAGTTTTGGACTTGGTAAACGTTCTTCACCCGATAATTTAATGTATGCTATGGAAAGAAGAATACCACAAGGAAACTTATACAATTTTGGTTTAGGAAAGAGATCTCCATCAACATCTGATAATGAATTGAATGAACATGATCATAAAGTTCAGAAACGAGAGACAAAAGGAACACAAATACGAAATTTTGATTTTGGATTGGGAAAACGTTAAAAATATTAAACACAAAAAAAAAATAATAAAAATTAATTATTCTTTTAACTCTTTTTTTCAAAATTTTATTTTAATTTTCAAATAAACTATAACACAAATTGCTCAATTAAAAAGAAACTACGAAACCCAATTAACTTTAAAAGCTAAAAGAAAAGTTCAATTATAGTGTTAAAAACAAAAAATGCATAACAACAATTTAAAAAAAAACATAAAAGATAAAGACAACTTTAAAAATTACATTATATTATACATATACCAAAATATATAATAAAATAAATTCAATATTAAAAAATTGTAAAAAAAATATATTTAATATAAAACAAAAATTAAACAAAAATTAATTTACATTATGTATATATATATATAGATAAATAAATTAACCAATAATATTAAATGGAATGAAATGATTTCTTCCAGCAAAATCATTTTATTTTATTTAAAATTTTTTAACATGTAATTTAATGCTTTCTTCTGATTTTAGAACACATAAATTGAAAGTTTACATAATAATATGTATGTATGCATGTACAAAGATTCGGGTGTTTGTTAATAATATATAATTTATGTATAAATAATAATAGTGTAGAGTAGAAAATTATATTTATTATGATTTATATGGAATTATGACAAGCACACATAAATTCAAGTCCCCCTATATATCAATCAAGATGAAATACAAAAATATGTACATGCAATAAGACTCAAATTTGCAAATCAATATCCCTGTGTAGCTTAAAATACCAAATATATTCCATATTTTTGGTGTCCCATTTGGAAAATTTTCATTCATGCAAAGAAATATAAAAATAATTTGACTAATAAAATGATTTTCAGCTCATCTGAATTGGTTTCCAACTCGTATTATAAGTATGTAGTATGTACAAATTTAATTTTCATAATTTTTATAAAAAATTTATTGATAATCCTTAATTGTTCCTTACTGCTTTATTAATAAAATATATTAAGTTAAAAATAATTTATAATTAAATCGTAACGACAACATTTTTTCTCTCAAGTCGGTAATCTTTGACATTAATAAGAATCAAGAGTACGTTAAATGAGTAAACAAGGTGAATTTGCTTATTCACCATTTATTTAAATTTGTTGGAAAAATGTAAATCAAAAACATTTTTAATATTTCAAATTGTATAAAGGACTATATGCACATTCAACCAAGAAGAGAAAATGGTCAACTTCTATTCTCTTAATCTGCATTTGTATTTATAAAAAAAAAATTATACCAGAACTTTAAATTTAATTGTTCAATTTCGTAATTGAAATTAAAGATTTTAATTAAATATTTTAATTTGCTATTAATTTTTGTTTTGAAAAGAATTGAAACACTTTTTAAATTTATCCGGATTTAAGAACACTAAAACGAAACCAATGACTTTTGAAAATAATTAATATAAAAAAAATTAAAGTTTTTATGTCTATATTTATATAATATACAGAATATTGTACCGTAATATTATTGATTTAAAATTAAAAAAAAAATAAATTTTAAGAAATCCTGAACAATATTTAAAATGACGAGAGAAGGAAAAGAAAAATACATATATAAAAATGAAATAAGAAAAAAATTTAATTTTTCAATTTTTTACGTAAACTTTATAATACTATTATTTCTATAAATAACGTCACACATAATACATATATATGATCACATATATATACAATAATATTAAATACATTTATAATAAGTACAAATATTCAAATATATTTTTCATAATTTTTTATTTATTTTAATTGAGGCTGGCAATTTTTATTTTCAATTACATATTTACAATATAAAAATGATATAATATTATATTTATATAATATATTTATGTACGTAATATAATATGAATATAAGAAAAATATTATAAAAATTATTTATTTAAGCCCGTATATTTAAAAAACTAAGGGCATTACAATCATAATAAATACGTGTTGTTAAATAAACTACTTAATATAATTATATATATATATATAAGGACAAAAACCCCTGTTGTATAACAATTTATATAATATATAAAATAATTACTATACATAAATACAATATAATTTTAAAATATTGTATAAAATTTTTGTTTTATTCAAAAAAAAAATTTAAGGTTTACGTAAAAACATTGACTTACATTCTTATATAATAACATTATATAATTTTTAATATATATCATTATAATACAAAAACAAAAAGTATATATTAATTACTAAATGAATCAGCATAACCACCTACGTATATATATGTATATATGTATATTAAATAAAATAATAAATGAGGAATTTGTATAAAATAAATATACTTATATTAAAAGTTACAAACAAAGTTTTAAATTTATACTAATATATATAATTATTATATTTATATATATATATATATTAATTAACTAATAAATTATCAAATATTTTATTATATTTTTTTATTAATAATAACATTTGTTCAATATTATATTAAAATAATATTATATTAATACAATATATTTAAAAACAGAAATACCAACACAAACAAATAAAAGTTTAGAGTGCCACAAAAAATTTATATGTAACTATTATTGTATATTTAGAAATTATTATCATCAGTATAAATACATGCATATATAATTATAATTATAAAATAAATATTTAAAATTTATTTTTAAAAATTTTCTAAATTTTTTTCTTTGCAAAATTTGCTGTAAAATTTAATATTTATATTATTATTTGGTCGAAATATGTAAAAATTAAAAACCAAAAAAACTAATATAACATTATTGCTACAGTATAATACACATATATATTTATTTAAAGTGTTATAATTAATAAAATACATCAGAACATTATATTTTTTATTGTACATTAATTATTGTAATTAATATTATAGAAAATGTATTGTATAATTCTTATACAAATATTATATAATATTATTATACATATATATATATACTTATACATTATATAACTTATTATATTGCAATAAAATTGAAAAAGTTGTAAAAATAAACAAAAATATATAAAAAAATTTGGATGTTTTAATTATTATGTATACCTATTTAAAATTTATTAATATTAAAAATTTAATAATATAGTAAAAATAAAAATTTATTAATAAATTATATAAAACAAAATAATATTAAACATATTTTCTTATTATCAAAATAAAAACGAATGAAAAGTTATTGGAATTAATGTAGTCGAAATTGATATTGAAGAAATACGGAACGTCTCTGATTGGATTGGAAATTTTATTTTATTATTAAAAACTTTCAATTTATTTGTCTGGCATCTATCGCCCATTATTCGAACTACTATTAATCACTCACATATAGTTTAAATATGTATTTTCGTTTTTCAATTCAGTCTTTTTTAACTGTTATACTCTTAACATTTTACATATTCACATATACAATTTTCTGTTTAAAATTGAAAGAGAGAAGAAAAACGGCATAAAAGATAATTTAATGCAATTCATTTTAAATTAATTAAAGCTGAAAAATTATGAATAGAAAAAGTTTTTAATGTAGCGTCATATGCGCTGTTTTAAATACGCGTACAACAAACTATGTCTAATATGATGAATATTGAAAATGAATTTGACATTAAAATGAATAATAAGAATAATATCAGTAATAAAATTTTCTTTACTTTTATTCATTTTAATAAAATATTAACTTTAGAATTGATAATTAAAAGAAATTTCAAATATACATATACCTACATTTTTTTAATTACATATATTGTAAATCTGGCCCCTAATTATGTGTAATATTATATATTTAATTTTTTAAAAATATATACATATATAAAAGTATGTAATTTGTATAATATAAATTTATGTATACTGACTGAGTCATTTAACAATTTTTAAAATTAATTTTTTCAAATATTTTCGTATTTATATAAAGAAATTTTTATTTTTCTCAATTTTAATAATTATTATTATTAAATTTCAATGCAAAATAAATAAATAACCTTATGAGATTTTATGTAATATTCCCTATAATAATATTCAGCACTTTATTTACATAATATAAATTATGAAAAATTTATGCACATACATATATAGTTATTTATATTTAGAAAAATTAAAATCAAATAATAATTAAATTAAATTGTATTCAACGTATGTAATGTAAATATAAATATAATATATTAAAATTTTTTGAATTAATTCTATAAAAATACAATTATATCGAAAAGGAATTGCATTCGTTTTTCTTAAAAAAAAAATTAAACAACAAAATATTCAATAAAAATGATAATCAACAAATAAAAATTAAAAATTAAAATTTTTAAATATTTTATGTATAAATTATAATATTATTAAAATTATAATAAATATTATAAATATTATTTTATGTAGGATAGAAAGCATATATTAAACATCAATAAATCTGCAACCAATTATTAAGCAAAAGCAAATAAAATTAGGTTTATTGACATTTCATAAAAATTAACACTTCATCCCGCCTATATTATTATCCTTATAAATAAAAAATAAATTACTTAATAACAATATACATACATGTATACATTAATAAACATTATAAAAAATTAATTTATGTTTCAGAACTTTATTGAAAAAAAAAATAACTACTTATATATTTGTAAAGCAAATAAGAAAAAAATGAAACAAAAAAACAGAAGCAGGTATGTTCAAAATATGAAGAGAAAATAAAAGAAGACTAAAAGAAAAACGAATTTTTTAAATATGATTTTCACCATTAATACTTGTACCCAAATTAATTGTACGAATTAGTTTCTCATATATTCCCCATCGAGTACACTGGAGAAAGAGAGAGTAACTTCTTCTCAAAAAATATCTGTCATAAATGTTTTTTTCGCATAAATAATTATAAATGATGGGCATAAATAGTAAATTTACTTAATTTATTATCAAGCGAATATGCCTGATAATAAATTAAATAAGACCAAGCCTCAACTATCATGCAAATTAAAAATAATCGAAAGAGTAATCAAAATCGTCACTTGAGCGCGAACTACGGCTATGAAATTATCAAGCAAAATTATAATCATTTTAATGAGGAATGGAAATAGAAACTTTGGTAAGGATAAAAGTTTGTTGGTAACAAGCAACATCCTAGTCAACGTTAGGTAGATAGTTTATTGCGTCCTACAATAATTCGTATTGTGATGACAAATATTAAAAATCTCTAATAACCTCAAATTATTCGAATTTTCCTTAAAAGACATGTCATGCTCTAACAAAAAAGGCGAAGCAGCATTATCCGAGCCAAGTTGCTGAACAATGACTAACGAACACTGTCGAGTATCGAGCATTTTCCTATTTCTTTGTAATGTTTGCTAAATTATTTTTTACATTTAGATAATATTGTTCATTAATAATAACACGCTGTAAAAATTTATAAGTGTGCGTTATTTTTGATTTCAATATATTTTTGACTTCCTCCGTTAATTTAGTTTACTTGTATAATTTGAAAAAGTTCAAATACCATAACTTACTAACAAGATAGTTTGGTAAGTTCAACATTTTTCTTACTTCCAAATTTTGAATAAATAAAAAAGTAGATGTTTATATTTGGTTAAAAATCACCTGGTATAACTCAGCAAAATGAATAAAAAATAATTTTTCGTTACATACAACGTTCATACATATATCCAAGTATACTAAGGCATAATAAGTATTAAACTGTTTCAAGGATGTTCCAACTATCAAGTGATAAAATGCAAATTTATAAATTATATAATACATACCTACTTACAATAAGTCAACTTAATCTTTTTACCAATTTAGTTTTAATTGTTGCATTCAGTCGGTTCGATTAATTAATTGAAAGCAGCATGAGAATCACTCATTCCTTGACAGCATGTTGGCATTCCGGATTTGAAAGAAATTCAGGAGCATTGCCGCCTCCAATTTCGAAAAATCGAAAATTTTTTCAATAAGTTCTTTCAATAGATAAAATTAAATTTTAACTCATTTTTTATATTAAAAATAAATAAGCTGTGTCTTGTGAATGCTTTTTTTTTATCAAAATTTATTAACTTTTTGACAAGTCATATTAATTTTAAAATATATGTTGACGTTGTCAAAATATATCTTAGTTATTTTTTAATTAAGTTATTTTAAAACCAGATCTGAGACTTAATACTTTCAATAAATGTGTTATCCATTTGTTATTTTTACGTCAATGAATGAATGAAAACTCAGCGTATTATTCGGAACAAAGCTTATTATTTTTAAATTTCCTCTCACAAAGGAAATAAATAGCTTTTATTCAAATAACGTAATTTTGTTATTTTATTATTTTCAATTTTTATTCAATCAAAACACTGACTTTCGGTCACAAAATGATTTTCAATTCAGTTCCAATAAAAGATGTATATATATTGATAAATTAAACACTTGACGTGCATATATACATTACGCAAAAACGGGAATCTCTTAATACGCAAATGCTGTTGTGCGAAGTCGTATAACACATCCAATAAGAAAATGACGCTATTGTAACTCAGAATTTCTACTGTTGAAATGTCAAAAAAAATTGTTAAATTGTCAAACGTTTGTTAAGAAGGCGTTCGCGTTGTTTTTACATTATTTTTTTAGTAAATAGAATATGAAAAATCAAATTTGAATTAAATGATAGAATATTATGTTTCTCCAAAACTTTGTATTTTGTAAGTTGGTTGTCGTGGGATATCAAATGAAATAATTTTTAATTATTTTTACGGTGTACTCATATTGTAAGTAAAAAAATTAGTTTTACTTAAAAAAAGTGAACATTTTGATTTTTTTATTTTTCCTTTTTTTTTTTCATATAGGTATAGAATATTTTGTGTTATATTTTTGTTATAGTAAAAAAAAAATGGATAGACTGAGAAGGAATTTGTACAACGAAAGTTCAACAGATTCTTCAGATTTAAGTTCCTCAGACGACGAAGTTGGAAATAAAGGTAGACCGGTTTTACGTTGTTGGGATACGGCCTCAGAAGAAAGTGATTATAGGAACGAACGTAACTCAAAAACAGAAAATATTGTATTAAAATTATTCAATCGAGAAAGGACAGGATATTTAAATGCAGATATTCGTAGTAAATGCAACCAGAAAGCATTTAGTAAAGTGCCAAATAGATTAAGTTTTTGTCTTAAAGATATTGTGCCGTACTGCTATTTGCAAGGTAATGGGCAAAGGTTTATGTATATATACATATATAATATAAATCGTAATATGTAATCGATATAATCTAAATGCCACATGATATAATTTAAGCCATTATGTTTATATGATTAACAAAAAGTTACCATGCCAACCTATTTTTTTTTAAATTTCAATTAGATCTCTTTTTTTTATTCCATTTAGGCCACATGTTTATGGGACTAACTGTTTGTGGACAATTTCTAATCAGTTATAAAGTCTGCTATGATGAAAGTTTTTTAGTTAGCAATTTAAATTTTACTACTTTTTACAAATATACGTAAGCAAAATTTTTTTTTAGATTTTCATATGTCCATACAAAATTATGTTATTTTTTTTTCTGGGCAAAATTTTAATGAAATACATATACATATATGTACAATTTTAGTTTATATTTTTGGATATATCGTCCTCATCAACCTCTTTCGAAATACTTTAAAGTTGTGATGTTTGATGATCATGGCGTTGACAATTTAAAAGCTGTAACAATGTCGCAGTGGTATTCAAATCCTCGCATATTAGTGGTTCATGGGGCATCTGAAGCTGAAAATGAAGATTCCTATATTACTATAGTTCGTGTTCCTAAACTTGGTTGTATTGATTGTAAGGACTTACGTGAAAGAGAATTCAATGAAGACGGATGTAAGTTTTGTGTAAAATTTTTGAAATAAGTTTAAAAAAAAAATTTATTTAGATTTTCGTTGTGACGCGTTGTGTATTAAGTGCAACCTTACAATACATAGTAAATATTCTACAAGTGAATCCGATCCAAAATTTAATCCATATATGAATTTGATTTGCCCAGAAAAGATTTTGTTGGTTGCTAATGGGTTTATACATGCGCTCAATATAGACTTGGAAATTCCGAAATCTACTCAACAGCAATCTCACATTATTTCCAACCAAGGAACTATATCATATCATCCGCAGCAAATACAATCCCAAAATATGTCTCCTTTTTTGCTTCATCAAAAAGACTTTGCAAATGCAGATAGTACTTTGACGCAAAGTAGTAATAATTTATGTCAAATTTCCGAAAAAGTACACAATTCCTTATACACAGCAACCGCTGTTGCACAAGACTTAAACAGCACACCTTGTAGTAATACAAAACCTTCTCAAACTAAATCACGAACTGAATCTGAACTTAGCTGTGATAATAAAAATAATATTGTGGCCAGGATTTTCGCTGATTTTACTGATATTGAAAATGAAACTATGGCCGTTACTGAAAAGCAATATGAGTTAAGTAATAAAAAGTCTGCGCAAAACTATGATGAACTAATATTTACATGTGGTATGAGTACTTCTATAATAAACAATAATTCTATGAATAGGCCGACAGCAACTACTTTGAATGCTAAACAAAATTCTAATGCTAACTTGTCTACAACAAAGGTAAATTTATTGAATCATAGCGGCCGACGTAACCACAAAATCGTCACCAAATCATTTCGGAATGGTGTTACTACTATAGATCTTCAGGCAGCTTCTACCTCTACTGCGGCTAATAATGGTAGCAATAATTGTTCAGATAAAGCTGATTCAGCATATGAATTTTCTGAAGACAATGAAAAGTGTGAAAAAATTGGAACATTTCGTAAAAGAAGATTAGCTGACAAAAAATACGAATTTTCTGAAGATAACTCAGAAAACATAATTCCGTTTACCAAAACTAGATTTCGATCTAAAAACACGGTGGCTCCTTCTCGCGCCTCTAAAATTCATCATCGACCATTTACGCCTAGTCATTATCATTCAACTGGTACTGGTACCGTATATTTATCAACATCAGCCTCGCAATCATTTGAAACAACCAGCCATTTGCATAGAGCTTCTCCAAGTCAGGGTTTTCGTTCACCTTGTGGCTCTCCTGTTGGAGCAGGAAGTGCTGGATTGCCAAATAGTTTAAATAATACCTCGATCGCTATATCTTCCAACCGTTTAGTCAGATCACCGGTTAAGGCAAATCAAGGACTCTCTTTACACAAATCTTCGCCGTCTCATTCCCCAAATAGTTCTCAAGCTTCCATTCCCACTAATTTATGTTCGAATAATTCAACAAAATCTATAAGCACTTTATCACCAGTGCAGATATCAGTTACAAAAAGAAGTAATTTTGAGTTAGGGAACATGTCTCCCACCAACAGACCATTTTTGTCACCATGTCGTGAAGATAGCAAGGTATTTGAAGTTCCTTTAGTTGGGACGGATTTGGAATTGTCGGAAAAACCAACATGTGCTAAAAAACTTAGACGACATTACGTTGAAGAAAACGATGCTGTATCTGTAATTACCAGTGAAGAAGGTAAATTTTTATTTTCAAATATTTTTAAAAATTGTGTACAAATTTAAACTTAAAAATATACATTCGTACTTATCGTATTCTAAAAATTTTGAAATAATTTGAAAAAAATTCGAAAATATCTAACTAAAACAAAGATTTCCAAATTTTTGTTAAACAGCGTTTTCCCCTCTAGTCCTCGATATAATTCTTAGCTCAATATTAGTTATTGGTTGACATTCTTTTTGATAATGTGTTAAAGAATAGTAGCTGTTACATATTTTTAAAATGAATTTTTAATTTCAAGAATTAACATTTTTAAAAAAAAAATTTCAGACGATTGTATTTCACCGGGTTATCATACTTCCTTGCCAATGGAGGTTCACGGTTCATGCTACTCTGATATGCAAATGATATCTAAAAATTCTTATCAACAGTTATGCTGTCCTATAGTTATAATTACTCAACATTCATTTGATTTAGAGACATTCACATATTATGCTATTACAAACCTTTGCTCGAAAAATAATAAAACTTATGATGTTTTTTATGATTGGGCTTGTGAGATTGTAAACGTAAGTTTTTTAATTATAAAATCAAATACTCTATTCAAATTCGCAAAACACATTATTTTATTCGACTTTTTAGGTTTGTCCGCACAGTAATTCGGTCATTTGTACTTTGATGGCACATTTTACAGCAAGAGACAAACAAGAAACAACAAATCGCAACGCACCTTCATCTATATCAATAAAAAATACCTTTCAACGTAAAAAGTATGAATGTCGTATTTTATTTTGTTGGAATTTAGAAACAAGTAATTGGGAAGTATTAGATTACGGACAATTAAATGAAATAAACCTGCAACCGCAAAAGTTATCAACAAAAACAAATGCTGGAGGCTTAACAACTGTTGCAAAACAATTAGCAGCAGAAATTTCAGAAAATTTAATGAAAAAGCATAATTATAAGTTTAATTTAAGGGTTTTAGATTCAAATATTGACAAATCTAAAAATAGTCTAGTCGATCTAGATAATATGATTGAGTTTTATCGTAAGAAACCGAAATTTACATTAGAGTCATCAATGTTTTTAAGCAATTCGGATGATAGTGATGATACGACTATTTTAGATTAAATACTTATAAAAAAATAGTAATGCATTTCAACTGAAATATTTAATTATAAAATATAAATATTAAAATTAAATAAAAAAGCTTAAGATAGCTATAAATTAGCTAAAGCTAATTTCTTATTTCAAAATTTTAATTATTTTAAACAAAAATTCAAGATTTTCTTACATTTAAGAAAATTTAGGCTTGATTTTGTAATGTGAGTCTATTAGAATCAAATTTACTACAATTTACTTGACTATAATTGAATTATGATTTAATTTTGATTTATTCAAAACAATCCAGTCTGCAATCTTCGAATTATGCAAATCATAGCAAGAACGTAACAATAATTGTAAAATTTGGAAAAAAGTATTTGTAATTAAGCCAAATAGTTTTGCAAGTATTTTTAATTAAAAAAAAATTGGGGAAGAATTGTCAAATTAAATTCATTAATGCTTCTCCAGTAACTTTTATTTCATTATTCGAATAAATTTTTTAGAAATAATGTTTTTTTTTTATTTTTATTGAAGACTTAAAAAATTGTAAAAATTCTTTTTAATTTAATTAGTTATTATATACATATGTACTTTATGCATATATGTACTAAGTGACCTTTTATTTTTTAAGCAAATAATTCATTACTTTTACTGCAAAATAAAAATACAAAATCCATTATTTTTATTCACTTATAACTGGAATATAGTGGCTGATAGATTCTAAAATATATTTCTAAGACTAGATAGGATTCTTGATTCTAATAGACAGATATGTATATTAAAATACATAATTTCTTTCATAAGTTTTTGGTAAAAATTTTGAATTTTAATGAAATCTTTGAGACTTTTTTTTAACGTTCTGCCTTATCAAGTTTTTTACTGCAACATTATCATATGAATTTTTGATTCTTCATTTCAAATTCTATTTATAGGGAAATTGAAATTTTTATTTTTTTTTAATTTTCGTTTTTACTTATTTTATTGGATAAAGATAAAATTTAATTTGCAATTAAATAACAATATTTCTATCACATTACATATGAAAAATTAAAAATATATAATTATATTATATTAAAATAAAACCAATAATCAACATGTATATTTATATACGTAAAATACTACTCATTAAAATACAATATGTTAAATGTTAAATAATTACTTCGTAACACATTGTAATTTTCAATAAGAATGAACTACGTAAGAGTGAGCAAAAATAATTTCGGAAAATATGCAAAGTAAATATTTGAAGCAAAAATTAAAAAGTGATTTAATAAGTAAATATAAAAATAAATAATTATTATATAAAAAATTGTAAATTTTATTTAATTTAGGAAAGAAGTTCTTCATATGGTTTGTCATAATATTTAACTATTATACTTTATAAGGGGTTTTCGGATGTAAAAAATTAGACCTCGTATATTTCGTTTATTTCAATAATTCTTGATATTTTTATATACTTCCGTGTATAAAAGTAGGTACCATACCATAAAATTGAACACTTTCAGAATTTTTTTTAATATTTTGTTTTTATAAACAACAATTTAATTCTATTGCTAATTATTCGCAATAATTAATTACAAATTCCTATTTAAAATCAATATTTGTTATTGATTAGTTGTTTATGTACAAATAATGTAAAGACTACTACACATATTAGAATTTTTACTAAAAATAAAAAACAATGAAATTTAATAGTTTTCAATTAAGTTAAGCAAATATTGGTTTTAAAATTATAATTACTTACAAAATTTTTTTTTCATTGTTATTATTAGGAATTAAATATGCTTTGATATTTAAAATACGTCTTAAATTATGAGCTATATATAATTTTTTTAAAATTTTGAATCTTTTCCAATGAGCTCTAAATGATATATGTTGTAAATGATTATCATTTTATCAAATCGAAAATAATTTTATAATTAAATAATTAAAATATATTTTTTTGAAAGTATAAATATAATTTAAAATTTTTCTCGTTCTAAGTTTTCGTTAAAATTTCCGAGTACTTGTTCTTTTATATAATAATGTGGTAATAATTATAGGATTTTTTTAAAAAAGTAAATTTGAATGAATATTTTTTGCTACAAAATTAATTCCGCTAGTAAGTAATTACTAATTGATCAATTAATTGGCCTAATATTTTAAATGTGACTCCTTATTACAGACGTTTAAATTAATTTTCTAGGTATTAACTTTTTCTTTAAAATATGCCTGTATGTTATGTGTACATATAAAAAACATTATGGAAGACATGAGGGTTGTGAATCACAAAATGTTTTAAGAATTCAAAACTTTAGTGAACTTTTGTTAACCAAAGATCACGAAATATTTAAATTAAAAGTTGACAATAATTTTGTATTCAAACTAATTGGAGTTCGTAAACGAATAATCATTATATTATACATATTTGAAGAAAAAATATTGGTTTGTATTTTTACCTTGACATCGGAGTTTTTTTGTTTTAAGTTAATAACCATACCAAGGATAATTTGAATAAGACTAAATTGGTTCTTATATATATGTATTTATACAATTTTCAGGAATTTTAATGACAAGTGAAAACTCTTAAGTATATTTTTTATTGGAAAACAACAATATTAATCTGACTAGCATTGGTGTAAGACTGTAAGCTATTATTGTAAAATCGATTATCATTTTAAAATTTTTCTTTAATGAGTATTAATTATTTCATACTTTTTAAGTGTATAATTTATAAGCATATAATATAATATACTTCCTTGTTCCTTTTCAATTCAAATATTTTATTGCAGGTTAATAGCGTTCAAAATAGGAAAAACAATGCTAATTATTTAAATTATTTCACTTACGTCTTAATAATTACATATATATAAAAAGTAATATGCATTAAGAATAATATTTGCATTTATTTTTGTAAATATATTTTTAAAAGAAAAGGGCTTTCTCGAAATTTAATTAAATTATTCAGATTTGGGTGAAGTCTTTAAGTAAACTGTTTAATTTGTAAGTCTGTTAAGAACCTTAATTTTTTATTATAAATCCAAATGATAATCGGACTATATTTTTAAATAATCGGAGGTTTCTTTAACGCAATATTGGTGATTCACTAAATCGATTTATTAACTGAAAAATACGAAAGTTTTAAAAAAGTTTTTGGAATAAAACAAATTTCATTTTATGAATTTTAATTAATAAATTCAGTATAAGTAAAGTTTTACTGCAATTTTGAGTTAGATTTATTATATATGTATATAACACTTATATACTCGGGAAAAGCTACGTTATATATGACATACGTATTATTTATACGTTCTTAAACTTTTAAAAAAATTTATAAAGTTATTATAATTTAAAGTGTTGTAAAAACCAAAATAAAATGCATGAATTCATAGGCAAAACAATATTTAATATGAAAAATATTTTTATTTTAATTTAAATATTGATATTAGTGCATTTAATTGTAGTAAAATTGTGTACACCTTAATAGTATTTTAATAAAAAAATACGGGAGACTTCAGACGATTAATAATTTAAATCGGTTCTGTTTAAAAATTTTTTAATTGCTTAAAATTGAAAAATAAAAATTAAACGCATTAAAAAATTATTGAAAAAATATCGAAACAAATACAATTAATTGAGTTAAAAAAGAAGTTTTCGAAATTATAATTGTTATAAATTTTCGTACTTAATAAATTTTGAAATGTGTTTTCAACCGAATCATTCTAGCTAAGTTAGTATTGAATTCGCGTTATAAACCTTGTTTGAAAAATTTTTATCGAATTAAATGAAATACATTTGCTTCACTGCTTGTCAAATATCACTAAATATATCTCTATCATGTCAAAATATATATAAATTTTTGTATAGCGCCTACCTACATGAATTAAAATAATAAGAAATTTGGTATATAAATATTTTATTTGGAAATTTAAATTAAATTGATAATTAAACTTATATTTTAATGAAACAAACATTAAAATTAGAACGTTGTACTGGAAAGGTAAACCATTTTGACATTTACGAATAAAACGCTAAAGATAGGTAGTAGTATTTTACGACATTGTATTGTTAGGGACGATTTAAAGAGAATTTAACCAAGAGAAATTTGATCTTCATAATATTTATTGCTCTGTCTTTTAAATTTTTCAATGTAATTTTAATAAAAATTAGTTTAATTTCTGAAACTTTTGCAATATTTGTATATTTAAATAAGATGTGGTAAGCGTAGGAATTAAAATACAGGTATGTACAAATATTTGTTTTTTACATTTTCTGTAAATTTTTGAAAAACGCTATTCAAATATTTTTGTATTTCCAAATTCTTATACAAAGAATTTTAAATTTTTTTACAATCTGAAATTTTAAAATACTATTGATAATAGTGATAATTTTTAATTAATACAAATTATTTACACTAATTTTACATTTTTTATGCATTCAAAACAATAAATGTATGATTTTTATTAAAAATAAGAGCAACGAATCGTGAATATTTTGTGCAAGAGTAATTAATTTAAAAATTTGAACAATAGTGTTTAATATTATTGTAAAAGATTCACAATAGAAAGGAAAAATATTTAAAATAAATTTACCGCCCATCATAAACATATTATTAAATTAACTTAAAATAGGTTTTTATATCTTATAATTTATTTAATTTATAAGGAATTTTTATTTCATTTTGTATTTTTTTTTTCTATAGTAAGTTAAGTTTAATTTAGTCTTAGGAAATTTCTTTAATGCTATTTGAAATGAAAATTCATTCAATATACCGAATATGGTTTATTATTATTGTGTGTAAATATTTAATTATCAATAAATTAATATTTCTTAAAATTAACTAAAGAATTTCTTTTACACATTATGATCCCACACTTTGAATGCAGTATTATAATACATAAGGTATTTTTTTCTAATTTATATTTTAAAAAATTTGTGTATATGAAAATATTTATTATGTATGTAGGTTGAAATTTGATTCAATATATTATAGTAAAGAAGTGTGTTAGCAAATATTAAAAATAATAAAATATTGGTACATATTATTATAGAAATTATATTGTTTTATATGAAATTGTGAACAGGTTATGTTACGTGCGTAGTCTATTTTGTTGATAACGCGATAAACGTATTATTATTATTGTACGTGATTATCCCAAAAGCAAAAACTATTTTTGGTAAAACTAGTTTCATATCATATTATATTCTTCTTATATCATACACGAGGAAAGCAAATATAAATAATATTTGTACACATAATAAATATAATTTTTAAGGTACCTACGGTTTAATGACTTCAGTTAGGAATGCACTGTTTTTAAAATTAACAAAAAAAATTAATTTATTTAAAAAAAATTGTGAATTTGTAGGGAATTCTTAAATTTTTGATAAAAAAGAATTAATATCAAAATTCTTGTATATTAAACATAGGGTGACTTTAATAAAAGTTACAGTACAATTTCTTCACAAATGTATGTACATTTAAAAATATTTTTGAATTAAAGCTAAAGCTGAATAAGCCTCCGGAAAATATAAAATTATTTGACACATTATTTAATGAATTTTCAATTTCCATATGAAATTTTGAATACCTATATATTATACGATTAATATTCAGTTTAAAAATCGTTTGGTATATGTATAAACATAATATGTATTTAAAAATATTTGAAAATAACTCAACTGTTATACATGTCTATAATAATAGTATCGGAAAATTTGGAATCATTTTCGAATACCACAAGTCATTTTCGAATATCGGGAAACATAATGAGTAATTTATGTATAATAAAAATAAGAATAAATTTTGATATTTAATAATTTTTTACCAAAAATATTTAAATCAGCTTTGCTGTTTTATATTTAATTAATCAAAATTAATTCAATATATTCCAATATTT